GTAGCTGACATGGGGACTGAGCCTGTCATGATTCACCTTTTCTTTCAAATAGATTCATGCAAAACTTGAACACTGGGACTGAAGACACGGTTCCAAGCTAACCACCTGAGCTGCTTCACGTACTCCTGTACGTCTCGCTGAAGCAGAAGATCCTGGGGCAGAAGATAAATCCATTCTACTGACATTATTCAAGGAAATGGCCGTTCACTTGTCCTCCATACCAATTTTCACCAATACATCTTCCAATTGCCTGAGTATCTCAGGGAATCATGCTGAGACAAGGACTTCAAGGCGCCACTGGTGTCCAGACTCAGCTGTAAGGTACTGAGCATGAGGCAACTGAGCTATCTACGCTACTATTCCTGAAGGTGTCAAGCTCAGTATTTTGTCTGGAAATCTTACACAGCTCAAGCCAGAAAGTTTTGTGTTGATGAGCAGAATGTGTACTATTCCTTACACACCAGAAAATACATCTGAATGATGACACAAATTTCTGATGTTTTCAGTATATTACCTGTAGACTTTCTCTATGGGACCCAAGTGGTGTTCTGCTGATACACTGCGTCCTTTTACAGAAAATTAACGAGGCCAAGAAAATCAACTTTAAAGTATACGTTTGCTGTACGTAGCCAGTGAGCAAGGGAAGAAATCCACATTTTTCCCCTCATAAATGCTACCGTCTTCCAGTTGAAACCATATTCTGCTGATGAAAGCTAATTCATAGTGCCTCCAATATCCTTCAAAGAACTTCTTTATTCCCATTTAAAAATGCATAAAAGTCAGACATATGTGCACACAGGCATACACATGTATACATACCCATTCGAGAGGCGGGCTTTCAAACTACCTTACATACTGACAGACAATAGATTCAAGGCGAGGCATGGTATCAATGAGAGTTTTAGTAATTGTAAAACATTTACATGCTGCTGCCCTGTAAGGGAGCGATTACCCCTCAACTTCATAAATCAACAAAGAAAACACACCCGCTGCTGAAGGAAAGAAATGGTCACGCCAGCTTTGAGAAGGTAATAGCAAAAGATAGAGCTGATACACTTCACACTGCAACGGCCTTGGGAATAACCCGGAGCACTCTCTGAAGCATGGTTGTGAACACAGAGCCACGCAGGGCAGAGAAATACCTTACTGCGCAGCGTACTACTGTTACGCAGAGAGCGGCATGGCGTGATTAGTCCTATACTTTCCTGAAGCTTTTGTCGTGCTGAGTGTATTTTGGATATATTCTTGCACTTCTGAAAGCCTTAATTTGCTCAGTACTTTGAAAGGGCGGCACAGTTCCACTATAGGGATTTATTTGCTGTGTCACAGCCTGGACTAACAATCCTATGAATATCATCCTTATGAGGCGTCTCCTGCTCCCTGTTTGCTCGCTGCCTCAGAGAAGAACAGTCAAAGAAATTGGCTGCTATTAAATAGATACACGGAACCAAGGTTTCTTTCATTTCAGATTTTACGTTCCTGCAGGCTGTATACTTTTGAAGGGCAAGGAACGACAAGGTCTTAGCACCTTAGTGCTGAATTTTATTGAGTCACTTGCACAGCTCTCTACCACTTGGAGAGTATGGACAAGAATAACAACATATCCTGAGGTTTTTAAGTTTCCAAATCTGAGAAATTTATAGTCTCTTGAGGTCAGCTCAACTTAAGGACAGAAAGGAAGGCGCATGGGTCTAAGGGTTTTTTGGTCTTCCTGACCTAACTGGTCCTGACCACATTCTTAGTGGTAATCTCGATCCTGATGTTAGGCAAAATGAACTGTTCACACCTGCCTAGAAAACTTTCTAGTTTTAGATAAAAATGCTATACAACACACAGTTTTAGAGAAAAAGGCTAAACAACAAACAAATACCACTCAAAATGCCAGAAGGCTCAGTGATGGGGTTGTCTTGGATCCCGAGGAAACGGACGGTCTCTGGAGCCAGAACAAGGCCTCTGAAAAGCTCCATCCAAGCACTATGTGCTCAAGAAGAAAGGTAGGAATAAAAATGTTGGGAAGTCTCTCTGGCTGGAATTCAATGCAGATTTTTTTCTGCAGGAAATAACACCTTGAGCACTTTAGTACTTGGTTTACTCCATCGCCTTTGCTGACATTACCTGCAGGATGAATGTACACACTGCTCAAAGAGGTAGACCTCACTGCTTTGCTTTTCTCTCGGTTCTTTGTGCCTGCACCGTCACTGTTGGCTAAAGAGACCCAGGCGACTGGCCTGGCTAAAGAATAACCTCTTTTCTGGCTAAGCCAGTTTTCATCTGGATCATTTTCCTGATGTAGTTCTTCTGTCACCTGCCACACAAAGTCTAACGCTGTCTAAGCGAAGGCATGGAAATGCTTCTCCAGTTTGTCGTTTTGGAGATTTGCACTACTTTTATGATACAATTAGCACATCGTGTGTTGTGTGACAGGATACGCCGCGTGTTCTATGATAAAATCCGCACAGCATGGGCTATGTGACCCACGTCACGTGTTGTGTGACTGAATTCTTGTGCGGAATCCTTGTGTTTCACAGATATTTGCTATATTCATACTGCGTTGAATATTTGACCTCATTTCATATTTCGACAATACTTTGTCATATGCATATATGCACAGATATTGTACTGCTGTTGATGGAAAGAATTTAGCTTGCAATTGTTGTGAAAGTTGAATAAGGTACATATCACTGATAATTATAATACCTTTCTAATTTGCACAGATTTTCTCCTACGGGCATCATACTAACCTGCTATCCATCAGGCAGTAACCACTGGATTCCGTTTCCCGCCTGAAAGTTCTGTGAAGATTCTCTGAAGCTCCAGAGAACATCCCATCCCACACTGCCAGCTACTTACTACTTTTAACAAATGTTAATCTGAACTTAGCCTAGACTTAGAACAGCGCGGCACAATGCGTATCATTTCTTACTTACTCAATAACAGCATCCTATTTTCTCATCCTTCAAATCAAGGAGGGGGGAGGGCTACAATATCTATACAGGCGGGACCTGTCAACAGCTTCTGAAGTCTTGCAGAAAATTGTATTTCTAGGTAAGTGACACATCTTACTCTGCAGGATTGAGCCACCGCTTTTCTGCGTGGTGCCAATAGCAATAGAGCTAACAGTAGTCTGAGATACCCAGTAACAGTAAAGACCATTCCCTTGGCTTAGTTGTTCCCAGTAGGCAGATGTGGGCAGCTCCCTCCTTTCGGTGTTAATGGATTTCTGCTTAGCTCTCCACTGCATGAGGAGCCTCACTGCCAAACTCAGGATTTTCAAATTCCATCCAGAGACACAGTAAGCATTTCTAAGCTGCACTGCACCCTGCCCCACTGCTTAGTGTACACAGCTGAGGGACCGTGTATGTACTCATTACCAAAGGAAATATATGAATTACCGAAAGAACGCAGAAGCTGAATTGATCTATCTGGCATGACTCAGAGCTAAAACAACCAGAAAGACCTCCTTTGGACTCCTAATTGGCACAGCCAAATGGGAAGTTGTTGACCATTGAGCATCACAGCCTATCATTGAAGCAAACGCTCATTTTCTCACCTTCAGTTTGAAGGATGCCTACCAGCAATCTCTTAACGCTTTCCATTTAGGGAGCACACCAACTGGGAAAAACATTTGTTCCGAGACAAAATGTGGCAGCACGATTTCTTTCCCTTTATTGAAGAATCACTGTCCGTGAACATTTGTGAAGAAATGACAATCACATTTATTTTTTTCCTTATATAAATGAGCATTACACTTCATCGCCTCTGCAAGCAGAGATGTAATACTGTAAAACGTGCAGTGTATTTGAATTTCCACCACTGCAGACCTGTCCTCAGATGAAATTATCTAATCTACATCCGTTTATACCACCTGAGGATACTGGACATTTGGTATATTCGGTATGTGCAGTATATTTGGTATATGCGTATATTCGTTCATCACTTTTGTCACTCCCATCTCCACTTTTAGTCTTGTGTCACCAAATACCACCACGTCTGCGTCATTACTCACAAGAAGGAAGGAGAGAGCTTAAACTCCATGATCACAATTCTTTTAGCTGTTTAACACAGGTTCCTAACAGCCCTAGAAATTATGGCACGACTTTTCTATCTTGTGCTTTATCCTGATCAGTCTATTATTTTTTTCAGCGGCGCATGGCAGGCATGGGAGGCCTTTCACAGGTTTAAGTTTGCCTGCCTGGTTTGAACTGGATTGGACTGTTGCAATTAATAAGAATAGCTCCACTTCAGATTATTAATCCCTTCATCAACCTAATACTCCGTGCTTGTTATAGAGGCATACATACACCCTTGCACAGTGACATTTTAGCTTTCTGGTGCACAGATGACAGCTTGAGCCGTATGTAAATTAACACATAGGAGCATACAGTAATTTAGGCTGAAATGGACCCCGGGAGGTCACTTAGTCCCCGCTGACTAGCAGGGAACAGACGCTTGTCCACGCAGCTGCGTAAGCAAGAACTGCTTTTCTTTCACGATTTGGTAAGAAATACCTCAAGAATCTGCTGTAGAGATCAAAACGGCGCGTCTTACTAACTCGCTAATACAACAGCTTGTTATCGCCCCTTGTGTCGAGGAGCTGCACGCCGCGGCCGGCGCCCACGGCGCTGGGCGGCCCCCGCGGCCACCGAGGCGACGGACGCGCACGGCCCTGCCAGCCACCCCGAGCCCGCGGTAAAGCCGACCGGGGCGGATTTTCATCTCAACTTCTTTCTTTGCGCAGCACCGGCCGTTTCCACAGCTGCAGCGACACGACGACGCGCCGGGAGGGCGGCGCGAAACGCCGCCGCCTCGCCGCCTCCCTCCCCGCCGCCGACAAGATGGCGGCCGGGCGCAACGCACTTCCCTCCCCTCCCCTCCCCTCCCCTTCCCTTCCCTTGCCGCCCGCTGGCCGGCGCTCCCGAGACGCACCGCGCCCTCCGTCACGGGCGCCCGCTTTCCCTATTGGTGAGAGGGGGGTCGCCGCGCGCCGCGGCTGCGCCCGCCCGTCGCTCCTCCCTCCGCCCCCGGCGCCGCGGCGGCGAGATGGCGCTGGAGGCGCGGAGGATGGAGGGCGACGTGGAGGACGGCGAGCTCTCCGACTCGGACTCCGACATGCCCGGCGTCGGCTCCCCCGGGGAGCAGCAGCAGGTGGGGAAGGGGAAAAAGAGCCGGGGCGGTGCTCGGCGCTTGCGGGAGGGGGGGCCCCGGTAGCGCCCGGGCGGCTGGATCAGGGGGGGTTCCCCAGGGGTGGCCGCCGCCTTCCCCGTGCCCTGGGCCCGGGAGCCGGCTCGTTCCCCCGGCGCCCGTTCCTTTGGGAAAACCGCGTGCTGCCGCGGGGCGGGGGAGCTCTTGTCGTGGCTGGGCACTGGGTCGGGTGAGGAAAGGCGAGTGCGCCCCGGCACCGCCGGTAGCGCCCGGGCGGCTGGATCAGGGGGGGTTCCCCAGGGGTGGCCGCCGCCTTCCCCGTGCCCTGGGCCCGGGAGCCGGCTCGTTCCCCCGGCGCCCGTTCCTTTGGGAAAACCGCGTGCTGCCGCGGGGCGGGGGAGCTCTTGTCGTGGCTGGGCACTGGGTCGGGTGAGGAAAGGCGAGTGCGCCCCGGCACCGCCGGTCGCTTCGAGAACGATGGAAACGAGCCGCTGTGAAAGCGCGTGAGAGCAGTGAGCGGCGGTTCCCGCCTTCCCCTGACTGTCCAACTCTTCTGCATCCGTGAGTTGCTGAAGAGATGTTAGTTACTGCCAGGTGTCTCACGTCGTTTTCGTGTTAGGGTGTTAGGAAGTTTATGAGGAATTTGTCGTGGTGTGCATTTATGGAAAGATTTCAAAGCGAGGTAAATCAGTGTATGACACCGTATGTATACGGGTTTTTGTTTTCTTCCGTTAGTTTCTGGAGTTGTTAGTGTTCTGCGTTATGGAATACACTTTAAATGAAAGGTTTGTATCTCATAACGTGATAAATTAAGTTGGAGACTTGTGCTTTCTGTTTGCTGATGAGAGGAAGAGAAGCGATGCCATCATGTTGGTGAAAGCCGTAAGATTAAAGGAAGAGTTTTTATTTCCCCTGAAACTGCGGGAAGAGGTCTTATTTTTAAAGATCACAGGATAGCCTGTAGCTTTATGATAGGAAACCAGTTAGGGCAAACTGGAATTGAGAGTAAGGAAAACGCTTACTGCAGATTAGCACAGACAACGTGGCCAAAAATTTCCAGCAATTGGGAGGAAGAATTCTGAGTTGAGTTAAGCGTGGTGCTTTCGCAGGTTATGCGTATTTGAGCGGGTTTGGCTTTCGTATTTTAGTTCACCTGTCTGGTGTATGGGGAAACAGCATTCCTTGAATATATCTTTATAGCAGTGGGACTTCTTTTGTAAAGTATGTTGAAACCTTTAGCATTTTTTGTCCTAATTGATAAGCCATAGTGAGTCTGTGGTGTCTTGTTGGTTTTGAGGAAGAAAACCCCCAGTTTTTCTGTACGGTACTACTGTCCCCAGCTGGTCATATGCTGTCCCGATTGAAAGAGACTCATAATACACACTTAACTTCTCAAGGTTTGAGCAGCATCCCACTTTTGTGGGTTTGGTTTTGTGTTTTTTGGTCATTTTTTCGTCTCACTTGAGCCTCTGGGAACACTACTGTGGTTGCAGATCACTAGTCTTGACTCCTTTCAGACTCCGGAGATAATATTAATTTTTTAATGTTAAAAAACCTTCTGCTAAGTTGCTGTGATGGTTTATGTGTTTAATCTTTCTTAGAACTGCTGTGCGTGTTGTGTCTTTGTCCGATTTGGGACTTTTAATAGCTTTTCCAGTCTTTTGTTTATAAATTTTTTTTTATTTATAAAATTATTTTCCGATAATTTTAATTTCATTCAACAAAGATTACATTAAGTAGGTTAGTGACTCCTGATACATGTTTTCTATAGCAGCCATGCCGTCTTTCATATACGAGCATTCAAAATGCAGAAGTTTCATAGAATGCTCCTGTCAGCGGCAGTCCAAAAGATGCTCCTAGAGAACTGGCCAGTCAGTCACCAGTCAGAATTAAGTTTACTAGCTAATCAAATCTTTGGTGTGAGTTGATAGTTCTTTTAATCTCCAAGAGTAACTAAATGAACGGACATGTGCTTTTTCATTTCAGAAATCACATGATGGTAATGATTCAGGCAGACCATTCCAGAGCAGCATTTCATCATGTGCACCGAGTGTTCCTTATCGAACAACCAAAAGTGTGGATTCAAGTGACGAGAGCTTTTCTGAATCTGATGATGACAGCTGTCTGTGGAAAAGAAAACGACAGAAGTGTTTCAGCTTCCCTCCTGCTAAATCTGAGCCTTTTCCGCTTAGCCAGAGCCACCAAAACCAAACTGCTCTAGGTGGCAAGAAGGTCAACAACATTTGGGGTGTGGTGCTTCAGGAGCAGACTCAGGATGCGGTGGCTACTGAACTTGGGATTCTAGGCATGGATGGTAGTATTGACAGAAGCAGGCAGTCTGAGACTTACAATTATTTATTGGCTAAAAAGCTGATGAAGGAGGCTCAGCAGAAGGAGGCAGAGACTTTAGATAAAGAACTGGATGAATACATGCATGATGACAAGAAAACAGTGCCAGCAGAAGCAGAAAATGGGCAAGGCTTTCTCAAACGGAAGCGGCCTGTAAAAGATAGACTGGGTGAAAGACAAGAAATGAAATATAAAGGAAGGTATGAGATAACAGAAGAAGATTCAGATGAAAAAGTGGCAGATGAAATTGCTTATCGGTGAGTTTAATAACAGTCTGTCTTCACTTCCTTAAGTATTGGTAAGCTGTTGATGGAAGAGAAGAGGGGGGGAAAAAAGCTTTCTTACTGCTAAATATGTAAGATGTCATACCACGTTACAAAAAGCGTGAGTGCCCCTTGTGTATTTCCAAAATCCTGGGACTAAAATGCAGCATTATGGCTGGTATCTTGTAGAAGCATACAGTAATACTGTCGATTTTTTTTTTTTTTTTTTTAAGATCCACTGCAAAGGTTTGTTATTTAAGAACAATGGCAAGGAAAAATATTGTTTCTCATGACACAGTGTGCTGGTTTTGGCTGGGGTAAAGATAATTTTCTTCAGAGTGGCTAGTATGGGGCTATGTTTTGGATTTGTGCTAAAAGAGTGTTGATAACACAGGAATGTGTTAGTTACTGCTGAGCAGTGCTTAGACGGAGCAGTGCTTACACGGAATCAAGGCCTTTCTGCCTCTCACACCAGTGGGCTGGGGGTGCACAAGAAGTTGGGAGGGGGCACAGCTGGGGGAAGCAGAAGGAAGGAGGGGTCACTTGGAGTTACGACATTTGTCTTGCCAAGTAAACATTACGCATGATGGAACCCTGCTTTCCTGGAGATGGCTGGACACCTGCCTGCCAGTGGGAAGCAGTAAATGAGTTCCTTGTTTTGCTTTGCTTGCGTGCATGGCTTTTGCTTTACCTATTAAACTGTCTTGACCTCAACCCCTAAGTTCTCTCACTTTTACCCTTCTGATTCTCTCCCCCCCCCCCCTGAGTTGTGGGGAGACTGAGTGAGCGACTGTGTGGTGCTTAGTTGCTGGCTGGGCTTAAACCACAACACACGAATTTAGTAGTGGCTTTTTTAGGAAATACCCTGTGAGTAAAGATGCGTGTTTGGAGTTGGACACCAATGAACACCTGTGGTCACCATGAAAATCTCGCTAAGTTGTAAATCTTTGAAACTGTAGGTAGCTTGGACTGTGTAGTGTTTTGGAGAACACAGCTTCTGAAATACACGTATTCTTTACACAGAACATGCTTGTCTGAAGAAAATGTTTTGCTGCTGTTGTAACCAAGGGCTGCGCCAAGGTTAGACACCAGCACTGAAATCAAGCCTTGCCCCTTTCTGTGTTGTGAAACGGAGCTGCAGTTCTGTGCTAATTTATGGAAGCCAGTGTTGGGGTTACCAAGTTCCAGCCATATGCACACTTAGTACCATCCAGTTCTTTTCACGGTCCTGCCATTTAGTTATTGCACACTGAGCTGAGTCAGAAAACTTATCTGTCCAAAAGCGTGTTGCTTTTTTTGAAGAGTTAGTTTGCAGACAGATTTGTTTCTCGAACCAACTTGCTGCACCATTTCCTTTGAGCTGGCACTGGCAGCGCTGGACGGGTGGTGTGAGGGAGGGCACGTGACTGCAGTCATTCTTACTTAGATTGACTGAAACTGACACAGTCTTTTTTCCGTGATGAAAGGGAAGAAAGTGGTGTTAAATAGGGAACGAGCGTTACAAGATTTACCACTTGTTAGCTTGACATTTAAATAAAACCTGGGTTTATTGATCCATCGTTGATTTCTTACACGTGAAACTTACTATTGCCATATGCTGAGATACAGCAACTAGGCAATTATTAATGCTGTTATCAGTTCTTGGTAGCTGCTCATTTTTAAATTTGAAAACTTTGAGCATGTTTCTTGTAATAAACTTTCCTTTGTTATATTGAGCTTGATTAAAATAGGGCAGAAACCTCTTTTTCTAATCGTTTATAGTAGTAGTGGTGCTGAACTGCATCAGTAGGGTTGTGGTTATACACGTCACAGCAGTGTTGTTTGATCTGTGCTGCGCCATCTCTGCCTGGATTCATAACCTTTTGTTGTGCTGGCTCACACAGTGAACTGAAATCAAAGAGTTTTTCTGACCATCTTGTGCCATTTTTTGCCCTTTACCTGATCCCGTTCCTGTTGCAGTGCACAGCTGCTTGTTGAAGTACACAGGAGGTACAGGAGGATTGTGCAGGGCCAGAATGAACACTAGGTGGGGGTTTGGCTGCTGAAGCTGCCCCTGCTCCTAACAGAAGGTCTATTGAAGCAGCTCTGTAAGGAATCCTGGTTATCTTCAAGTTCTCTGCATCTTTGAGAAACATTTCCGTCTCTTCCAATAATTCACAATTTAGAACTCAATCCTGTAAATATTTAAGAAAGCATTTACCTTCTGATGC